GTTTAGGGTTTAGGTGTTTAGAGGTTTAGGGGTCTTGGGGCTTTGGGACTGTAGGGTTTCGGGTTGCTACCACTGCTGAAACTTGGCGTCGGTGCTGTGCTTCGTAGTGGCTGCTGGCAGCCTAAACGCTAGATGCCTGAGCCTTACATACCCTAAACCCTAAAGCCCCAAAACCTAAACCCTGAAGCCTTAAACTTAAGCCCTAAACCCTAAACCCTAAACCCTAAACCCTAAATCCTAAACCCTAGACCCTTAAGCCCTAAACCCTGATAACTTATAACCCAAAAATCTTTCGGGACTGGGGCTCCCCAGGCCAATTCGAGAACTTCGATCTTGCCGGGCTCGTTATTTTGGTCTATGAACTTTTCCATCTTTTCATGTTTAGGGGTTTTGGGTTTTAGGATTTTAGGGTTTAGGGCTTCGGGTTTTAGGGTTTAGGGTTTTCGGGTTTTGGGTTTGAGGGTGTTGGGTTTAGGGTTTAGGGCCTAGGCCTGGTCTGAAGAAGACGAGAACGGATGTCTTTCTGCTGCGGCTTCCATTCCGGTCTGCTTGAGGACATCCAGCCCAGCTTCACTGTGGCTTTGAACATCGATCAGGTGAAGCTGCCGCGGACTCAGATAGACGGAGAGCTTGACATTTGCATAGGTGCTTGGGGTTTAGGCTGGAAGGTTAAGGGTCTCCCAACCCGGCTAAGCATGACGGTATGAAGCGTCTTTGAAACCCCAGTCTCGTTAGCTTCACTGTTTAGGGTTTATGGGGTGTGCAGCTGAGGGTTGTTTAGGTTTCAAGCTATGTTGTTTTACCGTACCGGTAAGTAATATAGGGACTTTACTAAGTAGAATAGGGTTTGGGGCCCGTTATAGCTATATTTATATTAAGGAACCCCAATAACCCTATTCTAATGATTCAGGCCCCCCAGGATTGTGTTTCATGTCGGGTTCCCGGCTGTAGCGCATCCGAGGAATCTCTGACCTGGAGCACTGGGCAAGACCTGAACCCTAAACCCTATAGACCTGAACCCTAAACCCCCTAAACCCTAAACCCCAAACCCCAAACCCCAAAGCCCTGAAGCCATCAGCTGAAGATTCGCAGTCTCGTGAGCAAAGCAAACCCTAAGCCCCTTTTGCACGCGGCTTTTCTTTTCTCGTCCCAAACTATGCGCCTAAACCCCAAATCCTATTGCCCCAATCAGCCGGCAACCTAGTAAGCCCTCCCCAAACGCATAAAAACTCTTAAGGAACCCTCGCCAAACCTATATCGAACCCTAAACCCTAAACCCCAAACGCTAAACCCTAAACCCTAAACCCTAAACCCCCACGACTTTGGAAAGTCTGAGGTGTGCAGCCATTCCTCCGCTCGCCGCCGGGGGTCCCAGGAGTTGGATTTTTATCGGCTTTGTTTTTTTAGAAACAGGGGTTTAGGGTTTAGGATGTAGGGTTTAGGGTAGAGGGTTGAGGGTTGAGGGTTTGGGGTTTAGGGTTTTGGGTTTAGGGTAGGGGTTCGGGGCTTAGCTTTGTTTAAACAAGGTTTGAGGTTTAGGAGT